TCGCTGCCGGCTGGGCCGTCCTGTGGAGAAGCCAAGTGAAGATGCGTTTTTTTCAGTTATGCTACTTTCGCTTTCCTGAATCAGGGATCGGTCGGTAAATTCTGGTTACGTAAGGCAAACCAGAAAGGGATTCCCAGATCGTTAACCAGAGGCGGCCTCAATTCAAGCCTCCTTGTTGAACCCAGTGGGTAGAATCATAGACTCCTACGACCGTTGAGGTTGGAAAAGACCTTGAAGATCATCCAGTCCAACCATTAACCTACACTGCCAAGTCCACCACTAAGCCAAGTAAGGGGAGAGTAGCAATTTCGTGTTTCCTGGCTTGGGGGCTGGATTATTTTTAATGAAAGTAAAAACTAGGAATCATTAAGATTGGAAAGGCCCTCTAAGCTCATCAGCCCAACCATCAACCCAACACCACCATGCCCGCTAAACATGGTATAGCGGTGTTGGGTAAAAACCAAGCTCAGAATTTCCAGGTGAGAGCGTCAGAAATATCCAGCGGCGTCAGGACACCGGGCTGCCTGCTACCCGCGTCTTGTTCGATGCTGCTGCTTCGAGAGCGTCGAACCCGTGGTGCGAAGCCCTGGCCCTGCCCCGGCATCCACAGCCTAGGTTTGCTTAGGAACCTGTGCGCTTTAGCATTAGTTTCTGGATCAGTGGCCCGTGAACTTGTCTAAATTCCTTTTTATCTGCCTCCACCAAATGTTGTGGCAACAGATTCCAGACTTTACGTTATCTGCTGTGTAACGGAAGCATTTTCATTTGTGTTAAGCAGGTTTAAGGGTTGTATCTCTTAAGCACGGAGCATACGGGATGTTAAGCGTGTGTGTAACGGTACAAAAATAGCATAAAGGTAAGTACATGAGTTTCAGGACTGAAAAAATAAGTTGTGCGATGTAGAATTCTTCACGTCTGGCTTTTATGCTTAGTAAGGAAGGAGACTTCAGATATCCAACATATATCACTTTTGCGTACAAAAAGATACAACATTTACATTTAAAAATTCTTTTAGCCCAACACAGCATCTAGTATTCCATTGTGGTATTCTATTTTGCTGCAAAGAAAACCTAATGCTCACAATGTTGTAATTCTTTTTCCTGTTGCCTCAGGTTTCAATGGATTTAACAACTCCCCCGCTATCTTTAAAAGACAACAGCTTTGTAAGTATTGTAAGTATTTCCTGATGTGCTACCTGGAAAAATCTGTATTTGACAATAGTATCTCTGAATGAAAGTTTGTGCTTGGACTGCTAGAACAGTGTTTCTGAAACTTCCTGTCTCACCGTCTTCCATCCTTTAATACTTTGGACATTCCTTGTTCCTGTCTCCTGTTTCCACAGGGAGAGTCCCATTCCAAAGTGTCTGCATTACAGATTCTGTTAGAATTTTCCTGTCCTGCCTCGCTTGCTCATCTGTCTCTGTGGAGGTTTCTTAGGGGAATTCCCTTTTTCCTGGCACCTCCCTTGATTCAGTTCTTGCAGTGCAGCAAGTAGTTTGGATGGGACTTTGCCTGGGATTTCTTGTGTTTTCCTTGATATGTTTTTCTTTCTTTCAGGTCAAAAACTGTTGTCTTAGACCATTTTTCAGTAAAAAAACAGGCATTCTTTCTTATCGCCTTCCAGCTGTGGCACGTGCATCCTGCTTTCCTGCACTCAGTCTCTTGAGTGACGGAATTTTTTTCCGGTTTTAAGTTATACGCAGATAGGGATTTCCCTGTTGCTTAATAGGCATTTGAAACTGGACAAAGTAGCGCAAAAAATGTATTTTATTGTTTTTAGGAAATACCCAGCATTACCAAGAGAATTGAGAAGATTATCTAATTTAGACTTTTTCCATGCCTAAATTTCATGGTTCGCATTCAAGTTTTATGTAATCTTAAGTAAAAGGGAGGGATTGTTTCAGCAGGTCTCTTTGGATTTTTTTTTTCTGTTCTGCAGAATATTGCAGCCATAGAAACAAAACAGAACAGAGATGATTTTCTCTCTTCTTGGGCTTTTTCCAGTTGTAGTTTTCCTGTGCTTGTGAAATTCTGCCCTGAAGTACTTAAATTCAGAAATGCTGCTTTTGTCACCTTCCTCCTGCCTGATGTTACCTTTTATTGTCCAATCTCCCTGAGCTTGGAAGCATCCCATTTTGATTTTTTTTTTCTCATTAGGCCTGTGTATTCTTTATACAGTCTCTTAGAGGAACTGGTGAGACGGCATATAGATAAAGATTTGTGGGTTTGAGGGGCTTAGTTCCATGTGGAAGAACATAGAGACAACTTGTTTTTATTATTTATCAAAATATTAGCCTGTGAATATTTTCAGTTGGATAGTTAGCAAGTAATGATTACTGACCAGGATCCATTTTCTTAGTTTTTTGTCCTCTCCGGCCATTAAAATAGTTAAATGATTTGGCCTAAGTGTCTGAATGTATTTTTAAAAAATTATGTGGTATATGCTATCCTCTGGCATGCAGATTCTAGGAAGATTTAATTATGAAATACAGTCGGTCTCTCAAAATGATTGACTCACCACATATCTTGCCTGCATAATTGGAGAAAAACAGCAAATGAGGACACAGGCAAAATACATTGGACTTTCATTAATGGTCATACATTGAAAACCACCATGGCAAAATGCTTCATCCAACTGCAGAGGGTTTTGGTTTTTTTTTTTATTTTGAAGACTCATTTGAATTGTTTGGTATGCCTCAGCTGTTGCTTAATGGAAGGGAAAACCTGTGTGTGCTGCTTCTTTTCTCTTCAGAGTGTGGTAACCCCTGACCCTTTTGGCACATTAAAAGATGAGATGGAAAGACTTAAAGAAGAACTGCAGAAATGGAAGGCAAGTTCTATAAAGCACATAGAATTGTGGAAATTAGCTGAAAGATACTTGGGAGACCTTGAGTCCATCCTTCTAAAACCAAATCAACTCTCCCCCAATTCTAACATGTTTGCCTAACTTGTTCTCTGTTCTTCAACATACGTGCTTGTGTTGATCTCAGTGGTAACTACGCCTGTAAGTCTAACAGAAATATTTATCCAAAGTGTTAAAAGTAAAGAAATATAAAGGGTTTACTTAAGGTTTTGTTTGTTCCCATGGAAGAAAAAAAAAATTTAAATCTTTTTCTTTTTACTATCCAGGAAAGAGTTACAAAAGCTGAAAGAACAAAACATGAACTACTTCTCTGTACATTAAATGCTGATCAAGAGTGCATTAAGGCAGAGGGGGAGCTGATAAAACTGAAGGAATTTCAAGAGAAACAGCATAAGGACATTATTATGTCTAGGGATGCCCATGAGGTATGGAGAAGGCTTACTTATAGCTGTTAGTATCTGGGGAGTTGTGAAGGAGGTGTTGATTAGAGAAAAGAGTAGTATTTCCTTTTCAGTTTGAACACCTTTACCGGTTTGCAGACTGGATGACTAGAATGTTCTACACATGGTTTTGCAGTGGCAGATTAAGAACCGTGCAATAAAACAAGTCTTACGGTAATGTTGGAAGAGTGAAGGCAAAACTGAGAACTATTTCATATAGGAGATGAAGACTGACAAAACCAGTCTTCCAAGGTTCTCCGCTAACAGATGAGTTTCAGTTTTGTGTGATGCAGATGAAATTGAATGGGTTGATTCCACTGCTTTGTCAACTCCCAGCCCACCTTATAAGATGTTACCGCACCCAAGGGATTAGCATTTCTTAAGTGACAATGAGCTGGGCAAGAGCCAGAACCTGTTTGAAGAGGGCTCTTCTTTCCAGAACTAATTGGTTCATTACCTCAGTGTGCCATGTGCAGTCGTTGGTACAGTAATAGGATAAGTTTCCATAGGCTGTCAAGGAGGTGGTTTCAGTGAAGTTTGGTTTGGCCTGTAAATCACTGATGAGAAATTATGGCTTCAATATTACAAGCTATTAAAATATAATTAATAGGGTTAAGTTCATTCAGGTTGGCGTGAGATTTTCTGAATCATAAATGTTTGGATTTTATAGCCAGAAGAGGTCATTATCATCATCTGGCTTTTGTTTTACGTTATCTTCAGCTGATGGGAACTGGTTTAAATGTCTCGAGTGGTTAATGACTTTAAAGGAGCCATCTTCTGATTGTGGATGGCTGGAGCTGACTACATCTGCTGTGTTTCCTTCTCATTCTGCTGTGTTCCCTGTCCAGGAAATACTGGATTTAGTTACGTGGGCTTTATGCCCATTTAGGATTCATTGGTTTGGAGGAAGTGTGTAGCAGATAGGAGGTAGAAGAGGTGTTCCCTCTTCCTTGCTGAAGAAGTATAAAGAGGGAAGAGCAGCAGCGTGTCCTCACCCGGTAAACGTTCCAGAAAAGGCAATAACAGTTACTAAGATCACACGTGGTACAAAAAATAAAATGCGTGTTGACATAGGCTCTGACCTTGCATGTATAAGGAACTGACATAACTATGGAAAGCGCTGTGCAATTTATGGTACACTATATGTGTTTGGAAACACTAATGCCTCGTTTCAGAAACCCTCACTGTAATTTACTTTAACTGAAACTGCTCCTCGGTGAGGGAATTGACCTTGCGGATAGTTAAAGCTATGCAAAAAATGTATCACGCATGGCTGTCATGTAGAATAATTAAAAGTTGAAACAGTTTCTAATGCCTACAGATTTTGCTAAAATATATTTTTGTCTTCTATGTGTTTAATTTTGCATTTAATACTTTCGGGGCTGTAGAGAGAACTCTGTGTACTAAGAGAAGAAAATGCTGCGCTGAAGAGAGAGATTGAAAAGCTCAGAGGAGACCTGGCAGAATGTAGTTCAGTGCCTTTGCAGGATGGTCAGGTAAAAGTTCGAAATATTTTGCAACTTGTCTTTAGAAAGGGTACATGTTTATTTTGTCAATTCAAGACCATTGGGTCCAGTTCAGCATTTGAACCTCTGTTGATTTCAATGTAAAATATAGCTTGAAGGTTTATTTTCTTATTTTATCTGGCAAGATAATGTGAGGAAGGCTAAGGATATGGAAACAGTTACAAGTATGTGAGATACTGAAAACATGAAAGGAATGAAGAAAAACAGAAAATTATTAAATGGAAGACACTGGAATAAAAAATACACATAGCATTAGTAATTTTCAAGTACTCTCATTTTATATTTCTTGCGTAAGAGGATGGAAGAAAGGGAATATGTCCATTATATGGCAAATGTAGCATTTATTTTAGCCTATATTGAGCTTGACTTGATTATAGTCTCTCTCGTGTTACTCCAAATCAGAAATAACTCGATTTGCAGCCCGATAAATATTAGTGATACTAAATAGATCTAAACTCAGGATCCAAAGTGTCTTTTGGTGAAACTGCTGCAGATTCTGAGGTGTTCAGAAATTGGAACTTCCCTTGTGGAAACTTCAGCTTTTAAAAACACATTTTCATTCCAAATTGGAACAAACCCAAATACTTTGGGGAATTTACAGTAAAATGAAAACTGCGATCATTTTTTGTTTATACAGAGATTGAAACTCTATCCAAGTGTTACCTTGTTTAATGTTAGCAACATCGCAATATTAGCTTTAGCTTTACTAAATTAACATTTCTAAGTTTAGGAGATGTCAGTGAAGTGCAGCCTCCTGTGCAGTTGTTGGACGGGGCAAGGCTCCTCTAGAAGGAGATTCAGTGTGAACGGGGGCCTACACCCAGGGGCTGAATTATCTTGAGGAAGAGCATCTCTCTTTCTGTTGAGGGAATGGAAGGAAAGCGGGCTCATAGATAAGATGCTAGTTTTGAAGACAGGTGGCAGGAAGGCTTTAATTATGCTGGTTATTTTATCTTGACACAAACAGCATTTTTCTTCTGCACAGGCTTGTGTTTTGAAACAGTTACATAAAGGGGGAAAAAAGAGTTATCTGAAACTCCCTCAAAGCAGCCTTTCCTAACCAACATTTTCATGAACAGTTTTAAACCGTCCTAGTTATAAAATACTTGGATATTCTTATCTATTTTACTAAGATGGCAACATACAAGGCTGTTTATTAGCAGACTTCCCATTGCTGTAGAGCAGTGGTGCAATTAGGCAGAAATAAATGGCAATGCAAGTGACTGATACTGGCATTTTGCAAATTTTACATACCAAAAGTATTCTTCTTCTGCACGTGGAAATCCCTGTGGACTTCAATTGGATTTATACTGTATAAGGTCAAGTTTAAGTTCAAAGTTGATCAAGGGGAAAAAAGAACCCACCTCATTGACAAAAATCCCAGGAATAGACAAGTACAACTAGTCAGTTTAGTTAGAAGAGTTATACCTGTTTTACCAGCCATGACTTCGATCTGCTTGACTGCTAAACTTTAGAAAACCAAAATATATATAGCACTTCAAGGAAAGACTACTGTTCATTTTTCTGTTCTGCCATAAATTACAGAAATGATTTTTTTTTTCTATCTTGATTCTAAAATATTAGATTAAAAAAAAGGTAGCAGAAATGAAACTGAAGTTCATTCACATGGAAGACATGAAGGATGATTATCCAGATATGAATACTTACTGTAGTTTTCGTGTAACTACAAAAATCCCATTCAGACTGAATCAAAACCAGGCACTGATCACTTTTGAAGATGAAGAAGGTATGTGATGCGTATTTTAAGTATAAAATGAACGTCTCAGATGTATTTCATTGCCAAAGGGAAAAGATTTACATAAACATTATGAAAAAATAAAAAAATCAACAGCAGCCAAATAAAGAATACACGGAGAATCTTTCACTATTATGATACCACTCAGTAGAAAAAAGTTCTTGCAAGCACTCTGCATGTTTTTGTTGGATTACTAGATTTCTGCTCTCAGCTAATACAAACAATACTTGGTGTTTGAAATTGAGAGTACGTTTCTATCTCACAGAGTGTTGTCAAGAATGATTCAAAATGTTTTGTCAGCAGAATTTGATTATTTTCTTTACTCCGGGCAGTCCCTCATTCTGACAGCAGTTCTGTTGGTTAAGGGTGCGTACGCGTCAGATGACGGGTAGATGTGAGGCGACAGAGGGATGGTGCAGTCCCTAACTTGCCTGCTTCCCACTGAGATGCTTGCTGTGGGGACAGCCCGGTGCCTGCCTGCGAGGATCCTGCCGGCAATCTGGCTGGGCCTGCTTGGTGGGTAACGCAGTTACGCGAGCGTTTGGCAGATACAAAGCTAGCGTCCGATTCATTTCTTCCTGCTAAAATCTAGCATCGCTAATAGGCATTCTCTGCACCTGGTAGTGATGTGGTTTCCACCCAAAGGTATTTTAAATGAAATATGAGAAGTCTGGTATTAATATTTGATACAGCGAGGGCATATTTTGATGGCATGAAGATTATACTATTCTATACTATTCTAAAGATAGTACAATATTTTTACCTGTTGCCTATAACCAGTGAGATTTTATGGAAACAGACATACCTAAAGACACAGGTAGTGGGATCTGGTTGCCTAACTGTTATTTATTTCTCTTTTACTGATGCAAAAGGCGATTTTGCGTAAGAAACTGAGGAATAGCTTTGGTTTTATAATGATTAAACAAGGCTTTTCTTGTGCTTTTCCTTAGTTGCCCAGAGACTGATAAAAATTGGTAAGCATACTGTGAACCTGGACAACAAAATAGCAAACGTGAGAGTGAAGCCTTTTACACTTGAAATGGGAATCAAATTTGAGGTAATCAACTGAAATACGAAACTGTAAAGATACAAACTTGCAGTACTTACAAAGCTTCAGGTTCATGTTTTTGGGTGTTTTCAGTCACAAAGTGCACAAGAAATTTATTTTTTCAGCTCCATGTCACTATTTCTGGAAAGAAGATCAACGTTTCAGAAGTACCTGAGCTATCCATTCCTGAAGACTGGGTGAGAGACAAATTAGAGCTGAATTTCTACAAATCTCATCAGGGAGGAGGAGGAGAAGTAGAAAATGTGAACTATGACAAGGAGTCTAGAACAGCTGTTATTACGTTCCTCAGATCTGGAGGTATAGTATGTAATATTTTGTTAGCTAGATGTACAGGCCGTATTGTCCATTCCGCGTTACGTTCCATTCCATATTACGTTCTGTGTTAACTTAACTACTGAAGATAGCAAATTCTTCCCACGGAGAGTTAAGTAGATCAGGAAAAGATGTGGGTTCAGCCACACGTCTGTAAATAAAGCAGCATTTCATCGTATTCCTTTTTGATCGAACATGACCTGATAGGCAGTTTGTGAGCTTTATTTCTTTCTTTGTCAAAAGCTTTTTTTTTTTTTTCTTTGCATCGCTAGACACATAGATTGCAAAAAGAAAATTAGGAAAATGTGTTTGATTTTAGCTCTTGTTTTGTGACAATGAAGTTAGACTGGCATTCAGATTGCCCAACTGTATGAAATTCTGTGAAGATCAGTGGAGCCACATCCATTTAGAGCAGCTGCTTTAGATTTATTTCAGGAGCTTTTGTGGGTATTTAATGATTTTGCTTTTTTTTAAATGCCAGATAAACTTTTTTCAAAATGCACATGAAGAATCTACAAGTGTGCTATCATATATTAGTTTCTAAATCCATGTAAGAGATATTAGCCTGTTCTTTGATGTGCTTACAAAATGCATTTTAGATTATATTACTCTTACTCCTCTTTTTCTTATTCTCCATTACAGCAACTGACGGCTTTCTGAGATGTACTAAATATCCTTTCTTTGTAAATGGAAGGTGTTACAGGCTTTCTGTGTCCCCAAGCACCAACATACACTTGGAAAAGTTTCAGGTAAAAGGATCTAGTCCAGGCTAGCCTCTATAAATAGAACAGATACGTGGGAAATATGCGATATGGGCAGAATTTTCAGTTCTGAGGACTGCAGAAGCTTTTGTGTCATGCACTTTGTGAAACTTAATAGCAAGTGTGAGTCTGCAATATGCTGCTCTGCTGATAATCTTGTGTTGCAGTGTGAAAGCAGTAATTTATTTTAAAAGGGTGTGCATGTCTTTCCTTGATCAAATTATATCATTACTCACCATAATGCCTGTGCTAGACAGGAGGCAGATACCAAATTGTTTATGAAGTAGGTTAATAGTAGACACAAAAACGTTTTTCCGAGTCACAGAGCACTGTGATATTCATCCCTAATGAGAGGCCTTGTTGACAGTCTCCGTAGAGACCCTTGTTCTATGAAACATTTGCTCGTTCTTTTTTTTTCTTTCATTCATTCATTCATTCAGCCCAAATAATGACTTCTTTTCCTGTAACACTAGTCTGCTTGCTCATCATATTCTCACTGAAATTGTCTTTTACTTTGTACAAATAGATTGTAATCAAGTCAGTATTGTGTATATAATCAGGCCTTTATAATTAAAGCATTGCCTAGAGCGTGTGCGTTTATGAGATACAACAGCATTCTTTGCAGGTGTGTCTCATGTATTGGCATGGATTTTTACGGAGCGATGCTGTCTAGAGTCATCGGAGATCCCCAAATCCAGTGTGTGTGAGCATTAAGGAGCGTAGGACACACCAGTTAAGGAGGCTGGGTGCATTGCCTGTTGAACTCGGTAGTGTGTGACAGAGTTCAGAGCTCCTGCTATTTTCAGTGACAGAAATACACCACACTGTCCAAAGTCTTAAAATGTAATCAAAGATCCTAGCCATATCTGATCAAGGATATGTTTATTTCCAGTATCTGTCAGTTCTTTCAGATGTACACGCAACAGCTGATGTGTAATACAATTTTGTTTTTCTTTCCTCAATAGCTCTATTGTGGGATTTCTAAGAAGACCATTCTGTTGAAAGGAATTCAAGAGACAGAAGATGATGAGGAAAGTATACAGGACATGATTGAAATTCATTTTCAAAAGCCTAGTAACAGTGGTGGGGAAATAGAGAAAATCAAATATGTATCAAAAGGAGTAACGTGTGTTTGTTTTGAGGAGGATACTTAGAATGCCGTGTAGAAAATTGTAGATTGAACTTATGAGTTTCTGAGTTTTTGCTTCATCAGAGGCACAGGAAATTATGCAGACATTGTACTTCAATATTCTGAAATTTATACTTGAAAAAGAACTACCTGTCTTTCTGATTTGTGTAATGGCGTAGAAATTCAGCAAAACTCACTGCTTGGTGTCCCAGAGGCTCCTGAATAAAGTCACAGAAAAAGCCTTTACCGGCACTTGAAACTTCATCTAAGATTGCTTTCTGCGAATTCGCAGGTTTTGTATCTTGCAAATTTTAGATAGCTCACACACTCCAAAGTGGGATAAATCTATTCCTTCTTACATTTTAGTTACAAAAGCTGTGTGTAATCCCAGTCGAAAGCACCTTCGCAGACCTGCTGTTTTGAAGTGCCATAGCTTCAAAAGGTAGCTCTGACAGAACTCCAGTCCTGCTGAGGTTGCTGTGTGCCACCGTAACTCAAATACCTGAAAGCAGTTATCCTGTGATTTCATAAAATCCACATTATTAAATCCATGATAAGATTGAAAAAGGGAAAAGGAGTGTGCAAAACCACCACAGATTTACTCAAGAAATTGCACCTTATAAGAAATGCCATAGCAGTAATTACTGCTTTTAGCTGTCAGAATGCTGTTACTTCCCCTAGGAGAATGAAAATTCTGCTGAGCTTCTGATGAGTTAATAGCCTGGTTTATTGTTTGGTTTTAATGTTTGTTTCTACAATTACATTTTTCCGCATTTTTGTTCATGATTTTGCTTACTTTAAAATATTACAGTTAAGAATTTGAGATGATTCTTTATCTAAACCCGACTGCTTTGTAACAACGCTGGCGAAAGTCTGATGGTGAGCGCTGTGTCCGAGGTGCCTATTTTGTTGCGTGTGACTGGCCAAGCTGCTGGCTCTGGGAGGGGACATAGAGAGGGGTCAGTTGGAAAAAGGCACACAGAGTTTAGGGCAAATGAATTTTTCAGCGCGCAAAGTCCTCCTTTTGTTTCCAGTTCATCCTTCCAGTTCTCATTCTAAAAGATCTTTGAAATAAAATGGAAGTGCAAGGTCAGAGAAGGATTTATGTTCCAAGGAGGAACATTTTTCCTTTTCTGCTGTCGTCCTTTTTATTTGCTACTCTTGGGGGCTGAAATGGTTTGGCAACAGTAATCTTAACTTCAAAGTAGCATGGGTCTAACGCCGAAAAGAACTTACTTCCCTAGTATGTGACATTTTAGCATGAAGAAAAACGACAATGCACCAAACTCGTGCAAGAAGAGCACTACAAATACACCTCAGGTATTGCTATTCCGGAGAAACTGGTAGTAGGCAATAGATACAGTTGAATATGGGAAACTAAAAGGCTGCTAGCACCACAGTTGATTTGGAATTTACTGTTGGGTGAGATACACGTGACTGTAGCACCTCTTACTGTTTAGTGCATGCAAAGGCATGGATCGATTACCTGACAATTATGAAATATTGAAAAAAAAAGTGGTAGAACTGGAGTATTTATGGAGATTGTGTACTTTTGCATGTAACAGTCTTAAAATGTTGATAAGATTGGATGCCTTAAGAAAGGAAAAACCTGATGAAGGTAAAAAATGTCATGAGTTTTAACTGTGCCTCACTGATACAATGCGGAGAAGTAAATCCTTGAAAAAGGAAGAAGTTTAAAGTTCTGATAAGGTATCACAGTGTGTGCGAGTAGTGAGAAGCTACGGGTTTTAAGTATGTAAAATCAAAGTGAGATTTTAAGTAACATGTTAAGACAATCAGTATTTGTAAATGTCTCAGTTTTCTCTCTGATGAATTGATTATACTGTTTAAATGTTAAAGCAGTAGTGGTGCCTCATAAAGGCTGGAAAACTGTTTTAATGATGAAAAACAACAATACGGGATTTAGGTGATGTTTCTATAAATGGCAATATCCTTTTTTCTACCGACTGGAGTGAATTTATCTTTGACTGGAAGTTTGAAAAAGAGCTGTGACTTTTTTATACCTGTACTACATGCCGAGTACTTCTACGCTTCCATCGCTGGAGCTTCCACCGTGAGCCGAACCTCAGTGCCGAGTCGGTCGGCTGGACGGCCCCGGCGTGGGACCCTTTGGGTGCCAGGGGAGCTGTACGGGTTTGGCACAGCCTTTGGGTGCGCGCCTCGCCCTGCGGGGAGCTGGCTCCTGCAGCCCTGCGCTGAGGGGCCACGGGAGGGGAGCATCGGCAGGGTGGGATGAGGGCGAGCAAGACCTTGAGGTGCTGGGGCGTGTCCAGGGAAGGGCAGCGGAGCTGGGGCAGGGTGTGGAGCACAGGGCTGGTGGGGAGCGGCTGAGGGAGCTGGGGGTGTTCAGCCTGGAGAAGAGGAGGCTGAGTGGAGACCTGATCGCTCGGCAGCTCCTGGCAGGAGGGGGCAGGGAGGGGGTTCTGGGCTCTGCTCCCAAGGAACAGCGATGGGACAAGAGGAAATGGGCTCAAGCTGTGCCAGGGGAGGGTTAGGTTGGAAATTAGGAAAAATTTCTTTAAGGAAAGGGTGGTCAAGCATTGGAACAGGCTGCCCAGAGAGGTGGGGGAGTCCCCATCCCTGGAGGGGTTCAAAAAACGGGCAGAGGTGGCACTGGGGGACATGGTTTAGTGGGCATGGGGGTGTTGGGTTGATGGTTGGACTGATGATCTTAGAGGGCCTTTCCAGTCTTAATGATTCTGTTCTAGTTTTACTTTCATTAAAACCTAATCCAGCCCCCAAGCCAGGAAACATGCAATTATTCCTCTCCCCTGAATTGTTTCAGCGGTGGACTTGGCAGTGCCAGGTTAATGGTCGGACTGGATGATCCTAGAGGCCTTTCCCACCCTAACCG